CCTCCCCAACCCCACGGTCAGGCGCAGCTCCCAGTGCCTCACCCCAGCATCTCCTCGCCCCCCAGGGCCAGTGCCAGCCACCACCCACGCTCAGCTGCCCCGTGGTGCTGCCCTTGGTGGACTTCAGCCTCCAGCAGTGGAAATCCAGATCGGTGAGAGGGGTGGGGGTATGATGTTGGCACCGGGGTGCCCACAGGGCTGGAAAAGGAGCCCCCGGGTTGGCACCGGCAGCAGAAACGCTGAACGTGGTGCCTGTGGGCACACCTGGCAGTACAGGGGGGTGGAGGGCCCCATCCAGACCTAGGAACGAATCGGGCCCCAGGAGACAACCTGCTCACTGCCTGCTCCCCTAGAACGAGACCAAGCGGCAGGAGATCCTCTGCGACCTGGCACTGCTGGTGGGTGCCGTGGCGGGGGCCCAGGGCCAGGTGACGCAGGACTGAGGGGCCAGGCAGCTGAGCCAGCTCTACCGACACGCCAGCTCCTTCCTCCTGCTCCTGCAGACCTTCAGCTGGGAGGTGAGAACCCCCCATGCCAGCCAGCCCGCCCTGGCGCGGGTGCCGGCAGCGTTTGTCACCCCTCTGGCCCACTCTCGCCCCGCAGGCAGGACCCTGGGAGCCGGGGTGCTCCCCACGCTCCGCGGAGCAGACCCACGTCACCGGCATCTTCCTCACCTACCGGCAGCTGGTGCAGGGCAAGCTGCGCTTCTTCTTCCACGACCTGGCCAAGGACTTGTGCAAGCAAGGCCAGGGGGGTGGCAGAGACTCCCGGTGCGGGGCCCGGTGAGGCTGCGCACGGGGCTCAGCCCCAACCCCGGGTCAGAGCAATCCTGCCGGACGCTGAGCTGCGCTCTGGGTGCCCAGGAAGGTGCCCACAGGAGAAGGGCTGACTGCTGCTCCTCCAGCCTTCGGTGCCCACGCAGGCGGCAGGCCCTGCTCCCACCCAGGCAGGCCCCTCTACTGTGAACACTTTACAATTAAAGAACTATTTTTCTAAAGGTTGTTTGTGTCCTCTCCTCGCGGCCCTGGCTGGGGAACTGCACACCCCCGGAGTGCTCGGCTCCCACCCCTCGGCCCCTGCACCCACCTGCCTCTCCCTAGCCCCACGCGCACCATGGCCGGCAGCGCCGCACAGTGGAGCCCGGGGTGGGTCTGGACTGCCCCGTCCCCCTTTGGGAAAGTGGCCCGGGCCCCCCGCACCCGCTCCCTGCCAGCCTCACCCCTCAGCCAGCAGAGCCAGAGCTAGAAAACACATCCCAGTTTAATCCAGAACAAGCCCGCCTTGCCTCAGCATGGCTCCTCAGGAGTCGGTGCCCGGCCCCGTGGCAGATGAGGGGGTTGTCCCAGTCCAACCAGCCCTGGCCAGGGCTGAGCCCGGTTCCGAAGCACAGGAGGGCGGAGGTGGGAGCAGCCCCCCAGCAGGCAGGACTGCGGGGCACGCGGCACAGTCTCCGCTCTGCTGTCAGACACCTCTCTCCACGCAGCAGGGGGCTGCGGATCGCGGCAGGAGTTGGAAGAGGCCGGGATGAGCAGGGGGGCTCCTCCCTCCTCCCCAGCTGCAGAGAAGCCAGGCAGCGTGGGGGCTGGGGCAGGATTTGGGGGCACAGGGCTCCTGCTTGCTCGCCAGCAGGATGTCTCTGGGGCGAGGCGGGGAGGCAGGAGGTCTCCTAGAAGGCCAGCTTCTTCATCAGCAGGGAAACTCGAGAGTCCACTTCAAACCCGTGCAGGTTGTTTGCATCTCCCTGCAGCCGCATGAGCAGCCCCCCGTAGGACACATAGGCAGAGCTGGGGTGGGAGGAGAGGAGTGGTGAGAGCGGGAAATCCCACGGGAGACCCAGGCTGGGATGCTGGCATCTCCCTGCACTGCCGCGGGCACCGCGTTCCACCCCCTCCTGCCCCGGGCACTCACAGGCGCGTGGCTGCCTCCGTGGAGGTCTCGTCCCCTTCGATCCTGTACACCTTGCCATACATCACGTACTCGAACTGGTCTGCCCTGCGACGGGACGGCGGGAGCTCAGAGAAGACTCAAAGCTGGGCGTTCCCCCAGCAGAGCGTTCCTTCAGGAGACGGCAGCTCACAGCCCCACGGTGCTTCGCCTTTTGCCCCCTCATCGACCCCCGCGTGGCTCTCAGCCAGACCCCGTACCTGGATGGCCTGTCGTCCGTAGGGTTATACTCGCCGTCGTCCAGCGTGCCGTCTTCGTACAAGGTACTGGCGATGACCAGGCGGAATTTGTCCCCTGGGAGGAGAGGGCAGAGGGGTGGTGAGCAGGCAGCAGGTGCAGCCAGAGCAGCAGCGGCCACAGCAAATCTTGGGGTGGTGGCAACAAGCCGTCCTGGCAGGTTTAGCACAAACCCCCAGTCCTTGCCTTCAGTCTTCCAACAAGACTGTGTGGAATGGGACAAATATCACACTGGATCCTCTGCCTCCCTGTTCCTCGCAGATACTGGTCACCACCATGGAGGAGACCAGAGCCACCAGGACACTGCCACTGGTGTTTTCACGGCAAGAGGTTCATGGGGCAAGTCCAGGAGGGCTTGGCTGGGCCCTGGACAGGTACGCGAGACCCTGCAGCGCCCGCTCCAGCCCTTCTGCACTTCACTGACAGCGAGGTTCTCTTTTCCACCCGCTTGCTCCATCTAGCCGCAGAAGCTCATTGCAAAAGGTGTCCCCTCAAAGCTCGGCTGCCACCAGCTGGGGCAGTTTCACTAGACAGCACCTCTGGAGAACAGGCCAGAGATGATCACAAACAAATATCACAGTGAGACAAACCAGCCCGCAGCTCAGCCCCAGCACAGTGAGAGTGCCCAGCACCCCCCGTGACCCAGGGCTGCACAGGGGCCCACCGGAGGCCAGGGCAGCTCGCTCCTCACTCACAGCGACCTCAGCCACCCCTCCCCGAGCACCAGCACGCCCCTCTAACCCCC